CATATTATCGGTATTAATGTTCTTTTAAAAGTTTTTCAGCAGTTCTTGGAGAGTGTTTGGGATATAATATGTCACATGTAACCCTTCTGGATGATATCCAACAAGTTTGAAGCAGAAATATTGTTTCAGTGACAAGTTATAGTCCACAATCACTTTTTGGCATCTTGAAAATGGCATATTATCAGTGTTATTGTTCTTGTACAAGTTATTCAGCAGTTCTAAGGGACTGTTTGAGATATAATATTTGACATATGACCCATCTGAATGACATGCAGCAAGTTTGAAGCAGAAATAGTATTTCAGTGACAAGTTATAGGCGGCAATCACTTTTTGGCAGCTCGAAAATGACATATTATTGGTATTAATGTTCCTTTAAAAGTTATTCAGCAGTTCTTGGAGAGTGTTTGGGATATAATATGTCACATGTAACCCTTCTGGATGATATCCAACAAGTTTGAAGCAGAAACATTTTTTCAGTGACAAGATATAGGTGGTAATCACTTTTTGGCAGGCTTAAAATGGCATATTATCAATGTTAATGTTCCTTTAAAAGTTATTCAGCATTTCTTAGAGACTGTTTGGGATATGATGTGCCACATATGATCCTTTTGGATGATACCCAACAAGTTTGAAGCAGAAATATTGTTTCAGTGACAAGATATAGGCCACAATCACTTTTTGGCAGGTTGAAAATTGCATATTGTCAGTTTTATTGTTCCTTAATGGTAATTTAGCAGTTCTGAGGGACTGTTTGAGATGTAATATTTGACATGTGACCCTTCTGAATGACATCCACCAAGTTTGAAGCAGAAATAGTATTTCAGTGACAAGATATAGTCCACAATCACTTTTTGGCAGCTTGAAAATGGCGTATTAATGGTCCTTTAATAGTTATTCAACAGTCCTTAGAGACTGTTTGAGATATAATGTGTCACATGTAACCCTTTTGGATAACATCCACCAAGTTTGAAGAAGAAATAGTATGTCAGTGACAAGTTATAGTCCACAATCACTTTTTGGCAGGTTGAAAATGACATATTATCGGTATTAATGTTCTTTTAAAAGTTTTTCAGCAGTTCTTGGAGAGTGTTTGAGATATAACATGTCACATAGGACCCTTCTGAAAGACATCCACCAAGTTTGAAGCAGAAACATTGTTTCAGTGACAAGTTATAGACCACAATCGCTTTTTGGCAGGTTGGAAATGGCATATTATCAGTTTTATTGTTCCTGTACAAGTTATTCAGCAGTTCTTGGAGAGTTTTTGGGATATAATATATCACATGTAACCCTTCTGGAATATATCCAACAAGTTTGAAGCCGAAATATTGTTTCAGTGACAAGTTATAGGCCACAATCACTTTTTGGTAGCGCTAAAATGCCATGTTCTCAGTCGTTATTCTGAACAAACAAGAAAGAGTCATGGTGATACTGGCACAATAGGTCTTTATTGTTTTAACTACTATTCGACAGTCTTATAACAAATATGAACAACGAGAGTAGACATACTAAACCTGTAGACATTAATTATTCCATCGTGATGCGTGTAGTCATTCGTGACTGCGCTACACACTGAAAGCAGCCTTCTGATAAGCGTCATAATTCAAGAAACGTTAAAGCTCCATAAATGCATACCTTTGCCTAATAACAAAGGCATAAATGTGTTTGGGGTTTTTTCCCCCACGTTATATCAGTTGCACGGAAGTAGCTGGTAACGCAAGTAATCCGGGCGCTGTAGCTTTAAGCAGCTGCGCGCGCTCCCGCGGACGACAATCACTATCTGGCAGACAATCACTTTTGGGCACAACACCGGTAATTTCGAGTGCATCTTGGGAATTGTGGTTTCCTGTCCGACTCTATCGTCATTACGTCATCGCATTCTCGAGTTCAGGTATACAGGAGCTGTGGGACATCGAGACGCCTTCCGTTACCTTTGATTCTCGCTCCTTTTTCTTGCTCAATATGTAGTAAAAAAATAAAAAATAAAAATCTATTCCGAAAAGAAATAAAAAGGAAAAACGAAAACAGAAATAATAAAATAAGGTTCTGAAAAATTCTAATTTACTTTTGACTTGGCACTTTCTCCCTTTCTATAAGATGAAAGAATGCGCCTAAAATTCAGACTTCAATTTAGACCACACGAGGGCACACAGATGGAAATGGGTTTGAAAAAAAAATCAAGGCTGTCAGTGCCAAGGAGATATTTTTTTCTTTTTTTAGTCTTCCTGGTTACACAGCTTATCTGCACTGGATAATTTCCTCTTTCCTATCCAAGAATCCAAGAATTTTTTCTTTTTAGTGAAAGACTATCTCTAAATGGCTACAACTCACATTACATCTACTTACCCCGGGAACATCCTTTGGTATGCGGTAAACAAGCTGCACTTGGGGATGCTATGCTTTAAAATTTAAGTGCATGCAGTTATATGCAACCAAACTGGACCCCCGGATTTCTCAAAAAGCCCTATGGGGGAATTTGAAAATGGCTCCCATTTGACCTCACACTCTAAACTAAGGCTTTAGTGGCATGACATAACCGCATCATCCCGAGTAGCACAGGTTAATATATTTTTTATTAGAAATGGGAAGTCAGACCTATACTCTGCAATTAAACTAATCCAGGTCCCTGCTATCTGCCCTGCCAAGAAAATGAGCAGTTACAAAACATTTTGGATCAACTAAAACTACACAGAATAGGCAAAATGTTACACAACTGGCAGTAATGGAGGAGAGATTTCCTGTTTGGGCTGAAATCCACTGTTACTTGATCTTGGGGAATGTGCTGCTGGCTCGCATAGGACTGCTAGCTGCTGGACTCCTTACATTTCGCAGTGGCCAAACACCTGCTCGTTCTGGCAAACGCTCAGCCTGAAAACTCATCAAGGGATAGGAAGACATTTTTCATGAGCTACATTCATCACGGGTTTAAAAAGAGCCTCTAAATCCATCCATCGCCTCCCCGTCAAAGAGGAATAATTCTTATCATTATTGCTGTGCTATTTAAAAGAGGAGTTTTGGTTTCATGTTGAGCTTGGTGTTTTACTTGTGTGTGTTTTTTCCGTTACTGGGATTTGAATTTCTGTCATTTTTAAAAAATCTCTGTGATCAAATAAAAAAGTCAAGCAAATGGCACTTAAAGTGTTTAATGTTATCTGTTTTTTCCCAACAGGAAAGAGCAGAGAAATCATTCATCAACAGCATAATAAAAAGCACAAAAACACACACCCTAATGATTCTACTGTCATTTATTCAACACCGCTTTATCTTACAATAGCTCATAGCCAAATACATCTGCAAAATATCAATAAATAAAACAATGAAATAACAGTGCAATTTCGCAGAAGAGGTAGGGGCAATAAATGACTGTTTTCTGCCAAAGTGGGATGATGATGATGATGTATGAATATGTCAGAAAGCATACACTGACTTTTGCAAGAGAATTCCAATCTCTGTGACTTTTCAAATTTAACAGATAAATTCTCCAAGCTTGGCCTGTTCAAATTTAGAAAAGAAAACAACAAGGAGTGAACAACACCGGAGCCACAGGTGAAAGGTCCAACCCAGACTCTTAAGATCAGTAATCCACAAACCCAACATTGCAGTTTATAGTGGTGTGGTGCTGGATATACATTTTAAATGGCATTCAGTTTCTCTTCACTTTGCAGTTTAGTGTTCACTTTGTGATCAGAACTCTTAAAGGTGTTATTATGTGCTCTAAACACCCCACAATTTTATTATATGACTGTCGCCTGCCTTTAATCAGTAGCATTATATTTACAGGGCACTTGTTTGAGACTGAATCTCTCTGAAGGATTTTAGCCTAGTTGTTTTAAAACACCCAAAAAGGGACCTGAGACACTAAAAGCCAAAGGCGATTCCTAACCTGGTTAAAAACAATGAAAGCACACAGTCTGTAAGACTGGTGTTAGAGACAATCATGGCAGATTTTCTATTTTTTAGGGAAAGAAAAACACACATTTACCGACTGCAGCAGTTTAAGCAGATAAATATGAGTTTTGGGTTTTTTCTTTTGTAAATGAGCAGAGGCTACTTTTCTGCCACGTCTCTGGTGCCAAAGCTCAATAGACATACAGTGTCACCAGGCAGGAGACATCTCCACGGAAACATTGTTAGCCATCCTTTTCCTGAGGTGGCTGGCAAAGTCCACCTGCGTCTGAGCGAGCACTTTGTTTATGATTGTCTTTGGGATCCAGCCCTGCCAATAACAGAGACAAAACCAGTGTCAGTTTGAATCAAATGACGCTTTTACACAAATCTAATACCAGTGAAAGGGAAGATGCAAACTTGATCATTCATACCTTTAGATCTATACTTAGTAACCAGGTGAATTTGGTCTTATTTGGGTCTTCAGCGCAGGGCTTCATAACTATGCAGGTTGGCCCGTTTTCCGCTCTGAGAAATGTAATGATTAACAGACAGTGTCACTTTAAAATAATCTGCACGCAAACAGTCTGTGCATCCATAAAGTAATGCCCCGGAGTGATGGCTCCCCATTGCTTACCTGACAACACCCCTCTGCTCAGGCATTTTTGGGTGCTGAGTGGACATTCCTGCTAGGAAGCAGGTGGAGCCTCGCCGCTTGGCACATCGGACACTGACAAAGTCCCTGGGTCCCACCACATTGCCGGGGGTCTCTGCGGATACCTCATGGGTGATCATCGTGTCCTGGCCGATCTTTTGGAGAATCTGGAGAATTCCAAAGTAAAGCATCATTAATTAACATTTCTGGATATATTTGTGTAACATGTTGTAAGTGTACGCTTTTAAAATAACAGAATAAAAGAAGCAATAACCATTAATTTTTCAACTTTCTTACTTTGACTTCTTTCACATTTGGGTTCCACTCCCCCATTTGCTCCATATTTCCAACTAGCTCTTTGTAAAGATCATCAGGATGTTGCTCCAGCATCACTTCTAGCTTGAACACCTTCCCGACATGAGGTAGCACTTTGCTCAGGACCTTGTCTCCATTCGCCTGCAGAAGAGAGGGAATGGGGACGAGAAGTGTTAAAATGTGAAGTTTCATAGCGGAGCTAATACAAAAACACTTGACTTTGATGCCAATAATGTATGCACGCACAGCAACAGTTTCAGTGGTCCAGCCGTCCTGCTCGCTGAGGATTCTGATGGCCTTTTGCAGTGCATCTTCACCTTGTTTCAAATAAGACATCTCCTCCTCATTGTAACCCTCTTCTTTAATCTGAGAACCTTAAAACCAAATTGCAATTATCTGAATTATACCTGTTTATGTCTTATTCTATGATTAAAAAAATCTGATCATGCATGACCTTTTTTTTCGCATTACAGTGACTGAAACAATCACAACAACTCACTGAGAAGAGAGTTTCGACGGTGGACTTGGCTGATCCAGTTACTGGGGCCTGGACCTGCCAGCCTGTACAGCTCATGATGAATGGCCACCATGGCATTCTTCCTCAAACCTGGAAAGCGCAGACAGAAAATACTCCGTCACTGTACCAGAACTTCCAGAAGGATTATCGAACAACATCTGTCTTCATTTTTTCTTTACTCATCAGGCTGGCATGTAGACTGCAACTTGGAATTTGTGGATGAATTTGTGGATTCGTTCACTCACCTGTCATATTCCTCATGTGCCGATAGGAGATGCCAGCACACAGTTTAAAAGTAGCAGGCAGCATTTTCAGTTTCGAAGAGTGATGAGAAAAAACTGTGTGAAGGCAAGAAGATTGCAGAGATTCAAACTCTCTCTGAGCTGTGAATGTTCTAAATGGCCCAGCTCCTGGGTCCATATATATAGGAGCACTGCCCACAAGGCCGCCTTGCTATCACTGTGCAGATAAACACACACACATTTCACTGTACAAATGGCCATGCCACCAAGGTTGCATCGCGCACGCAACAAGAATGCCCCACACTCTCACAAACACTCTGTGGGATTGTGTCCAGCATCCAGGCCTCCTCCTCGCTCACTTAAGCAGACACAGACATTAGTATATCAGTGGGTGACACTGGGAAAAAACAGCCTTTCGTCAGCAATGAAAACACCCAAAAGAGAGGTCAGTGCGAGAGACCCTGAGTGACTCATGCATCCCTTCATGGCCCATTACATGCTAAACACTCTCTGGAATTTGAGGGCAAAAATTTTCCATTCAGTTAGGCTTGTTTCTTCTCCCAGTATGACTGAACCCTGAATGGTACTTGGAAATATAAATGAGTGAAATGATCAGACATTAACTTTAATGTTGTGCTTGGAGACTTTGGGCTCCCTTTAACAAAAACAACAGCAAAATGTGTTTGAAGATGGCTTTAAATGGACAATGTTCGTAAGACATCTGCTGTAAAGGGTTTTGCTCGTGTTTTTAAGTCTCAGAGACCTTAACTGCAAAGGTTTCAGCTATGGATAAATAGGGTGGATTTTCATAAACTATCTCAGTGGCTATTTCTGAGAATCTTTTTAAGGTTTTTAGGATTTATTGTTGCATATTTTTTTCTACAGAAAATGTTTATCCCACATTTAGCTATGTCACCATGTGGGGCAGCATTGTTCCTTATCAGTGAGCAAATAAAAGGAAGATGCACAGGCCACGGCCCTGTGTTTCTTCACACTCTACATTACATATTAAATGATTTCCCTTTGGGAATTTTTATTTACGTTAGGGCAAAAGATTAAAAAAAAAAACTTTTAAGAACAAAAATGGTTGATTTTGCAACAATATGTGTAAAAAGCAAGCATTAAAACCACATCTATGCACTGAGCTGTAGTTATCCGGAGCAAAAAGTAACCCTGAGGTCGAAGGAAGTACGTAACTGTGGGTGATTCTGACAAAAATGCATATTCTGAGTGTTTTGACTGTGAAGAAACAGGGAGAGTGTCAAAATGTTTTGTTTTGTTCAAGTGCAAACTGACAGGAAGTATGAATAACAATTTGCTGCTGAGAACTGAACATCCTTAAACATCTTTTTTACATTTACAGTATTTACCACGGCCGATATTCTGACAACAGCTCATACAAAACAGATGTACAGAAGCGTTCCTTATACTAGGAAAACTGACTTTGTATAACATACTTTAGGATTAAACAATAATAAGAGAGCAATAAAATTTTAATGCAAGCAACCAAACTTCACTATGAATCTTTTGCCGCCTGCCCATTACATCACACTTTTCTTGAAAGTTCTTCCTGAAGGCTTGGTTAATCATCAGATGCTGCACCACCATCTGTGAAAAACATATTTTGTCAAACTGCTCACGTCTTTCGTGAACCTTGCTTGCTTCTTCCAAGAAAAACCCTGGCTATCTAACAGAAATATTGCCTCAGTGGGCCCCGCACGTCAAGCATGTGCTCAGAGTCACGGGAACAGTCAAGTGAGTTGCAGGTCATCTGATTAGTGAACATGAACGCATGCAGAAAAAACCCCCTAAAAAATCACCACTATCAAATAAATAAATTACCAAAAAAGCCTTAACCTACAACCTTGTGTCCCTCTGGCTTGATGACAGGAATCATCTATCAGTCCATTTGGCCTTCTGCAGGGTGACTTTTTTTATTTACCATGGGAACACACACTCCTAGTGTCTTAACCATTTCTGGGCCACAGTGGACACAGTGCAGATTCTAGGCTGGTAAAGGTTAAGGGGTCAGACTCTATGTCTTAAAAGAAGGTACATTTCTGTAAGTGAAATGGTAAATGGCCTGTATTTGTATAGCGCTTTACACTACATTCAGTCATTCACACACTGGTGATGGCAAGCTACATTGTAGCCACAGCTGCCCTGGGATGCACTGACAGAGGCAAGGCTGCTGGACACTGGTGCCACCGGGCCCTCTGACCACCACCAGTAGGCAACAGGTGAAGTGTCTTGCCCAAGGACACAACGACCAAGACTGTCTGAGCCAGGGCTCGAACCGGCAACCTTCCGATTACAAGATGAACTGCCAACTGCCACGATCGCCCCAGTGCTCTAGCTTTTGATCCTGGAACAGGGAGTCATTACTAACTGATGAGATGTAATGCAGTTTTAACATTTCGGCTTAATATCCTCAACATTTGTTTGGCTTGACACTAGGACAATTTTTTTCTTCCTTTTCTTTAACTTTCATATCATATGGATTGAATACTTCTGCATTAATAAAGGTATATGAGATACATAAAAGGCTATGTGAAAAGATGTTGTGCTCATTACTCAACCTCCAGCATTAAATTTCTGTTCTTGTGAATTCACAATACTGAATAAAATCAGGACCAAAGTGGTGAATAACGTAAATATGTGACATGTACTGGATGTACAGTTATTCCCCTAATAGTCTTGGAAAAAATAAAGTTTTCATAGAACATTGTTTATCATTATTACTTGCTTTTATTTAGTTTAATCTCTTTATGCTATTTTAACTTGAATTTTGTTCTTCAAAAGTGTCGTATAAATAGGGTTGCCAACTCCCTGAAAAATAAATAAGGGACACCTCGTGGCCAGGGCCGGGCAACCCAGTTCACCCTTCCCAGTGTGGTGAATTTTGTAGCTCCTTTTTTTGTGTGTGAAATTATTTTTTAACCATTTGACTTGAATTTGATTTAAGCAGATGCATATTCTTTGTGATATGACCATATGGGAAACAAATGATCATTTAGCCATTTATTTTTAGCTCAAAATGACAACATTAACACATAAAACAGGTCTCTTT